TATCCAAATTTATTGAAGAATAAATAATATCTGTGTGTACAATTTTACTAAGATTAACTCAAATTCATCATGATCTAGTTTATTCCTATTGAAAGAAACTGAATGTAATTGATTTGTAAGTGGCATATGTATATTTTAATTACTTAAGAACAATCTATATCAAGCCAGTAACAGTATACTTTTCTATACATCAGTCAAACTAGTCAATGTAATGTATTTTATGAAATAAGATAATTTCTTTTTTTTTCATGTAACCACAATTGATAGGTGTATTCGCATTATTTGTACTCAGGTGATCTTATTGTTTTTTTAAATAGTTTTCCGCTTATTCAAATATCAGCTATTTACAATAGAAACATAAATCATTATTCTTTTTTAAACAAAATGTATAAATTTATGAAATGACATTGGGTCTTTTTAATTTTATCCCATTCCTCAGAATGTAGGCACAATAAAATTCTGTCTGGCCAAAATGTCTAAGTATATAATTATCTATCCAAAAAGTTTTTTTTAATGATGTAATGAAATACACTTTCAAGGTGTATAGTCAAGTGACCTATAGTCAAGTGAGATAAAATGGGTGGTACAAAACAACTCTTTTCATTCATTAGAACCTAAAATAAAAGTTTCTTCATTAATTCGAATTAGCTCAGCATGATTTTTATTTAGTATTATTCATGTTTTTCATTTGAAGATTAGTCAGAACGAAGAAAAAAGGTTAGTATAACGTGGATCGCAGTGGAATCCAGGATGAGCGTTTCATTCTATTTAGGACTTGTCAGCTAGATGTATCTGCATCTCAGAGTTGATGTTCACTCTGGGACTCAAACCCAGTACCGTTCAATTCAAATGCCATCGTGTTATTCACTCAGCTACTGAGTCCTGATAGCCGCTTGCTTGTGCAATGTAGTGAAGTTTAAATTCACTTGGTATTGTTTGTTTGAATCTTCCCATTAGTGTTTAGAACTGCAATTGATCAGTCTCTTATTGGCATATGTGCATCTTGTGTGTATTGCCTCTATATAGCCTTAATTCATGAGCGTTATAAACAAAGATTTAAGGCCATATCGATGCAATACGCACAGTATGCACATATGCCAATAAGAGACTGATCAATTGCAGTTCTAAACATTAATGGGAAGATTCAAATAAGTAATACTAAGTGATTTTAAACAAGCAAGTGGCTATCAGGACTCAGTAACTGAGTTGATAACACGATGGTGTTTGAAGCGAAGGGTACTGGGTTTGAGTCCCAGAGTGAACATCAACTCTGAGATGCAGATACATCTATCTGACAAGTCCTAAATAGAATGAAACGCGTGTCCTGGATTCCACTGCTAGCTACTCTCCACCTCTGTTTAATAAGTAGTTATGCCTTTAATCACTAAATTTATTAGTTTATTTCTGTGACGTGAAATCATTTACTAAAAGCTACGTCAACGCATACTATGAAGCTGAGACATCTATTGAATCACATATTTAAATTATTAATATCTAAATCTGTCAGTGATGGAAATAAACAACTAGTTATAAATTAGTAAATCATAAGACGTAATAATTACGTCACTTTACATGCAAATATTCAATTGAAAGCATTGGTATATTCTTTGTGTCATGCTTTGCACTTTTAAATATCTCATAATAAGAGAAGAAAAATAAACGTTTAATGTCTCAATTATCAATTTGAACTAGCTTTACCGCTTAATATGAAATCTTTTCGAGAGAAGCTTAAAGTATACTTGGTTTGGCTTTTGTATAACCGTTTTTATTTAGTAAGTGCTAACCATTTTCAAAGCAATATATTTATTTAATTCATTCTTTTATTACATATGGATATGGAGGATTCATCTAGGGTAGTTAGATAACCCTGATTCCAAACCAATGGTGTACATGGGCTACGAGATCCTGAGGGAACAAATGGCATATGAACTTATTGTTGAACACTGGATACCATGAGACTGCATCTCCTAACGTTGCTCCACTGCCTTGTGGATAAAACTTCCAGGTCAAAAGCTCGGGGTATAGCCCCCCCTAAGAAAACTGCCTACTTCGGTTTGAACATGCGGGCAGTAATTCATCTCTCACACAAATCGGATGATAAAGTGCATGCAAATGTATTTCGTGAGTTTAAATAAATCTATGACATAGAAATCTTTAAAGAAATTCAACTAATTTAACTAAATCTAGACAATCCTTTCTAGAAGATAATATCAGAAGAAATTCGGACTAATTTTTTTCCATAAGTAATATTTGAAGAAATTGATGAAATGGTTCACAATATAAATATATTAAACAACAAGCATATAATGGAGACAATCTTTAAATAAAAATAAACCTTCCAAAAGAATCAAACAATAGTGATGGTTGATAAATATTTGACTTGATCATTTCTTTTTCCAAAATGATTAGCCTGTCACAAGGTTATTCAGTGTCTTGCTATATATATTCCAGTTAGTCAAACTATTAAGTTATCAATGCAATATGGAAGTTTCTGTATTAATTTCCCGAAGTATGAATTATTTTTACATTTTAGTATTACAGATCAAATAGTATGGTGAATTTCAACGTTTTATTTTTTAAAAAAGGCCAAGTGAATAGGAAAGAAAACTTTTCAATGAGTCCTATCTCAAACAGCCCGAAGTTAAAGGATTATTTATTTTTGCAAGAGGGTTTTGTGGAGATTTTTTAGTAGTTTAAAAGTTGAATTCATGAGTCAATTGAAGCTACACCATCATGGAAAACCTGGAAGCACTAGACAGTGGCGCGACTTCGTGAATTGGTTGAAGTTAGACATTAACACCGTTGGATGCCGGCTCAGTGGTCTAGAGGTTAAGGGTTTGCTCACGAGACTGGTAAATCCTGGGTTTGAATGCTGCGGGCAGAATAATGAATGCGCGCTGCCGAGGAGTCGCACAACAGGACGAAACGGCCGTCCAGGGCTTCTAGGTTCTCAATAGTGGTCTAGCTTTATTTGATTCATGAATTCAACTATTAGATCATTTATTCTGTTTTGGGAATTCGTATGAGCTTGGGAAATGTCATAATAAACGCTTAGAAACAAGTAATATGAAGTATCTATGAAAATCACTGTTGAAGTTTTAAATTAACAACAACAAGAAATAAAAAAACAAAATCACCGAGAAATATCTCTAAGTAGTAACTAGTAAGCAGTTTATTTTATTAATCAGATTTAGTTTATTTCTGTGATAAATTATTTTTCCTAGTGATTCGAATAGAATTTGAAATTTTGTTTACTTATGAAAGTGATCGAACCGTAAAGTAATAAGACAGGATTTCGCACAAATATATAAGCCTCAAACAAACCCGAATGATAGCTATATATATGTTGAGAATTTATTTCTGTCATTTTTAGTTACCTACTATCAGTATTCTTTAAACCTGAATTGTTTAAAAGAAAAAATCAGTAGTTCTTTAATGACTTCAGATTACTGCCGGTAGTATGGAAAAATGATCCATTTAACCGACTGCTGTATTTTGGTAGATTCGATTTTGATAGTAACTTGATAACAATGAAAATTGTAAGAGTAATTAGATTAATTTCAGGTCTCAATTTTTTCGTGTTCAAATAGAATGTATTACTGAGAACAGTTGAAATTTGATGTTTGCTGTAAACTGTCTATAGACTACTATTCAAACATATTGCTGACGAATACCATGTTGCACGAAAATTATGTACAGGGTTTCCTGTTGACTACTTCCAACCACCATATGATCTCAACATAGTGAACGCAATGTCAAGTCACTTAGACTAGTGGGCACATTGCAACTGGGTCGATAGGATTCAATCTGCACTAAGAAGGACCTTATATACATGATATTGATCAGCACCCAATGATCAATCAATTGTAAACTATTCAAACGGTTTGTTTTTGTTTTTGTATCCAATAAAATGTAAGAAAAATGTGCAAATTGTTTTTATACAGCAAATCTTTCAGCCATATCACTAATTTCCTAAAATGAGCCTACTTAAAAAAAGTAATATTTTTAACTTCATATGTTGCATCCTCCAGTATTGAAATTACACATTTTAAGTAATATATAAATGATATGAATATTCATAGTAAAGAAATCATGCCTTATCCTTCAAGAATTGGATTTCCATTTAAAGCTTATTGATTCGGATAGTTTAATCTTGACATTTGGAGATTTTAGCAATGTATTTTTACTAATTATCAGAAGGGGGTTTTGTGGAGATTTTAGTAATTTTATATAGTTGAAATCATGAGTCAATTGAATCTAGACCACCATGGAAAACCTGGAAGCATTGAAAGGCTGTTTCGTCCTATTGTGGGACTCCTCAGAAGTGCGCATCCACCATCCCGCCTCGCGAGATTCGAACCCAGGAACTACCAGTTATGCGCCAGAGCACTTAACCGATAGCTCACTGAGCTTTGACGAATTACCAGAACATAAGAAGTGACTAAATTATCATCAAATATAATTCCAAAAAAATTTGTTTATTCAAAATAGTAAAATCATTCGTATACATGATTATATACAAAGTTATTTATTGAGTATTGGATATATTACTATAATTGTTTTTAAGTGACTGAACAAAACTGTCTATTGAATACAATGGATTTCTTTTTTTCTTTATTATTTTACAGAACGAAAAAACATCTTGACAAATAAAATCGAAATTTTAATTCATAATTCATAAGTCCCCTTTTTGCACATTTCTATAATTCTTTATTATTTTGATGTTATAAATCAAAAGATTTACCCACTTTATAAAATAAATATGAAGTAATTTGATTCAATTCCCCCCTCCTTTATTAACAGTTGTCTACGCAAAATACTTCGAATCCGTTGGCCAGACATTATCAAAAACATTCTATTGTGGGAGAGAACAAAACAGATTTCAGCAGAGGAAGAAATGAGGAAGAAGCACTGGAAGTGGATAGGGCACACATTGAAGAAATCATACAACTGAGTCACAAGACAAGACCTCACATGGAATCTTGAAGGCCAAAGGAAAAGAAGAAGACCAACGAACACATTACGCCGAGAAATGGAGACAGACATGAGAAGAATGAACAGAAATTGGATAGAACTAGAAAGGAAGGGCCAGGACAGAGTGGGTTGGAGAATACTGGTCGGTGGCCTATGCTCCATTGGGAGTAACAGGCGTAAGTGAGTAAGTAAGTAAGTAAGTAGTTCGTCCCCTCTCTTGTAAGTCTACTCAAATAAAAACATGCAATATAGAATTAGTAGATTTTCTTCTTTTCTTTTTTCTTTTGCTTTCAAACATCGACTTCATACTTTAAAACTGTAGATAATAATGAGATAGATAAACATGAGATAATAATTGGAAACAATTTATTGTAATGATTGTTTGTATTATTTGAATTAATATTTGTGTATTTATTACGTTTTATATTTTTTATATCATTTTGTTGCTGTGATCTTTTATTAGTTTCATTCAATTTTATTTGACTTGAATTAGTTGCTAAGTGTATATTCCGATAATCATTCATAATTAAATCAGTTTGATTTGATTTATTTATAATTTTTGATAATAGATAATCAGAAATCTGATTAGTTTGTTCACATCCATATGGTAAAGTTTCTCTGAAATAATTTTGTATTAATTCAATGATATCACTGGAACAATGATATTCAAGTATTTTTTTGATACAGTTAACTTTTTTGATAGTTCCTCTAGAAAAAAAAATAAGTAAGAAGTAGTATTACTTTACAACAAATCGTGGACGAACCTCAGCTACAGAACTAGTGAAAACAAAGAAAAATTAAACAACTGACTACATTTAGTTCGATTCTCCAACTGTCGTTTATCCTTTGTTATAAGACTAGTCTCAAAGTTACAACATTCTCCATAGAACTATTAGGATAATCATAAAAGTTTATTTATAAATGAACATTATATTTAATACGTTTTGATGAAGTGTGATAAGGTTACTGTATTCACTCTTTCATAGAACAGATGTTTTGTGACTAGCAAAGGACATCAGGACGTTTATACGCCCCATTTAGAACTTATCAGCTGGACATCCTCACATCCAATCTGACCTCAGTACCTCAGTAAACGTTAATACCTCATTAATTGTTGAAAGAGAGGGATACTGGGTAAAATTCCCTATGTGTACATCAACTCTAAAAAAACAGGTACGTGTAGTAGACGAATCCAGAATATGATGAAACTGGGATCCTGGAACCCACTGCCAGTCATAATTCAAATTTTCTATAAAATTGTAATAAAACTGTAATGTCGAGATCAAGCTCACATGATAGACACATGGTAATTAAGACTAGTTAAAATCCTGTCAAGAACACAAACAATGAGAGAATTACAATAATTCATTTTGAAGGTACTTCTAATTATGCTTTACTGAGGAATTTGAAAAACTCCCATAATCTGATTTAGAACATATATAAGCTAGAAAATGAAGCCCTCAAAGATGTTATCAATAAGCTTGACTTCTATTGTCGGTACGTTGATGATACTTTCATTATTGATGATCATGACTTTGGAAAAGTAGGACTACTAGAACTGTTTAACAACAAACACACAGCAATTAAATTCACATGTAAAGAGGAACTGGATAATAAATTAAATTTCCTTGACTTTTCGTTAATCAAAAAAGCGAGCGGTTCTATCAATAGAAGTGTGTTTAGGGAAAGTTCTTCATCAAACCAGTACACACACTTCTTAAGCTTTGTACCTCTCCACTATAAAAGAAACTTAGTCAAATATCTGGCAAATAGAGCTAGGAAGATATGCTCAGTCGATTCAATTAACAATGAGTTAGAGACCATACATAATATGTTGATTGAAAGGGGTTATCTACAAGGTTTCCTGAAGAAACACTTGCATGTAACAAATAAGAAAATAAAGATATCAACAGCTGCCAAGAAACCTCTCTTCCTGAAAGTACAATCCGACTGCGATTTAGCTGATGATGTACTACGGGATAGACTGACTAGAGCAGTGAAAAGAACTTTTAATGCAGTCGACCTCTGTCTTTCGTACTCGACCTGATCTATGGTGATTCCCCAACTAAAGGATAAGTTGCCTGGTTATGCCACTTCTATGTGCATCTATGAATTCAGCTGCTCCTGTGGAGAATGCTATATTGGGCGCACTACCAGACAACTGAACCAAAGAGTTAGTGAACACCTCCCTTCGTGGTTAGGAAAAGGTATGATCAAGTCGATACGGAGCTCAGTTCTTTCACATTTGATCAATAGCGGTCATAAAGTTGACAGAAATCAGTCATTTAAAGTTATTTATCGCATTCCTACTAGTTTTCCTTATGGGGTTCGATCTCGTCCATTACACACAGCAGGAGCTATAGGAATTCGATCCAACAACCCAAGTCTTTGTGCTCATAAGACATTTGTTACACACTTATCTTTCCCTTAGCCTTAATAAATAGTTTTATTTTCCATACTCTTTCTTCGTTTATTTTTCTTCACCCCCCCCCCTATTTATTTATTATTTTTTCAAATATTCGCTTCACGTTCCAATTATCTGAACACTTCTTGTTACGTAATCTTATAATTTTATGAACGGTATTTCAGTGTCTATATTTTTCTAATCATTGACCTATTTTCCTATTATGTAACATTGTTTCAATCCTTTTATTATTCTTATCACAACTAGTACACCTGTCATTACACTACCAATTTGTACTTTTCGCTTATTGTTTTTAATTATGTAATCTATTCCACTGTTATCATTGACTCATAAACTGCCTTGATTGGTTTAATAATATCGTATATGCATATAAATATTACTGTATATTAGAGTAAAGCCTGATGAGGATCTAATCGAATACAATATTGTTCGCTTATATATGTTGTTTTATTGCGAAAGTTGATAAAAGCTTCCTAATTAAATCATTAAGCTCAAAAACTGAAATCACACTGATATTAGATATTTGAGGTACTGAGCCTCACCATAAATGTAGAAGTTGTAGAAAGTTTTTTAACTTACGTACAATATGTTGAACGTAACACTGATTTCATATAATTGGCATATTCATCGGCATTGCGTGAGTTCACTGGATTACTATTAGCCAGTTGCAAATATGTTTGAGACAAAAGATCTGAATATTGTTTGGAACAATTTTCAACTTGAGACTCATATGCAGAAAGACATTTATCTCGATGATATCTGAAAACTGTGTGGAAGAAAAAAGAAGGCAGTCATCACAAGAGTGTAAGAAATAATTGAAACTTAATGTAATATTGCATAATCAGCTAAGATCATTTTTAGAAGTGAAAATAAGACTTGATCAGTGAATTTCTTACCATCTTAGGATAACTTCGGAATATAACGTTGAAAATTAGGAACCATAAACATTGGATTGTTATTTTAATCAAAACTATTCTATTTGGTCTGTTTTTTGCCACCCAGATGAGTATACTTTATACTTTATCCCCAAGTACATTTATTCGACAACAGCGGTTATCGAAAACGTGTGTTGAGATCTACAATCTTATTAACAGTTCCTTCTTGACAAAAAAGTCCTATGAAGAGGACATCTTCAAATGGAAATTTTACTTTAATATCACTTGAACAGGTACTCAATTCTTTTCAACTAAATCGTTGAATTTAATTAAATTATAGTCACATATCCAATACGACTGTTAAGTGTAAGGTAACCTGTCTAAACATAATTGTCATTCTGCAGTAAACGAACTGTTTAATTATGTGACGCCACTTCGCGACAAAAACTCTATTCATTTTAAAACCAGTCTCTTCATTCCTTTCTTCTGACTTAAGTCAAAGACGTTGGAACCCAATTTGATTCTTTCTATTCAAAAGGATAATCTCAGTTTTTGCAATAGAATAAGAGTAATCTTTCTGCGACGGGCTTTTTATGGCCTTTGAAGTAAGGAAAAAAGCCAAACAGTTGTTCTTTTTAAAAACTCATCTACACTTAAGATGTGAAATACTCAACACACATTAGTATTGTGTATACGTGGAAGCCGTCAAATTGTCTAGTTCCATATTATACTCATTAAAATCTGTTCATAAAGGATTTACAAAGAAATGAATTGATAGTTAACAGAAATCTATTGAACTCACGTACTACGTAGATTATATTGTTGACATAAATAGTTTGCTGCTTTTTCATAAGGTGTTGTATCAAAAATAAATTGCCACATTATATTTCGAAAATGAGAAGTCGATTCAGGTGAGCAACGATTTAGAATAGTTAATTGAGCACATGAATACACTTTGATATGCCATTTTGTTCTGAAAAAATAAAACAAACAATAAGATTAAATTAAGAACAAGAAATATTCTGATTGACGATGATCATCAACCAGGATAATAACTTGTTAATTGTGGGAAGCTCTACAGTAAAAATTTTCTAAACACCAAAGTCTGATACTAGTATAACAGTGACATTACTTCAGAATCCAATTTCAAACGTTATAGAAGTTAAGCAACCCTATAGCAGCTTACTGTATCAAAATCTGTAGAATATTCAGCTTATTTTTGTGAATGGTTATCCATGAGGAATTCCACATATAGATGGAACAGGTGACTACTGCTTCCAAATATGTAATAATTCTTTAAGTGGTGTCAATCAATGGCGTAAGAAAGGTTCACTATCACTGGTAAGAAAAGTAATTTATAAAATGTCCAAGAAACTAATAAGACTGTTATATATACATATTATATGTATCTTGGCATTAATACGTTCGATCGAACTGAAATGTTTGTCAAACACACTTTTCAATTTTTTATTATATAACAGACAGTTGTTTAATAAACAATAAATTCCAGTCAAGACAGCTTAAAACTAATTACAAATGATAAGCAAAGATGGATAGTGTCTAGCAGTGGAGTCCAGGACACCCGCGTCATCCTATTTGGGAGTCGTCAGCTGAAACGACTTGCATCTCAGAGTTCATGTTCACTCTCGGACTCGAACACAGTATCTTTCGCTTCAAACGCCATCGCGTTATCCACTCAACTACTGAGTCCTGATATCCACTTGCTTGTGCAATGGGGTGAAGTTGAAATTCACTTAGTATTGTTTGTTTGAATCTTCTCATTGATGTTTAGGACTGTAATTGATCAATCTCTTATTGGCATACGTGCATACTGTGCGTATTGCTTCGATATAGCCTTCTTTCACAAGCATTGTAAGCAAAGATTTAGGTGTATTGGAGTCTTAAAAAACAATGGGAAGATTCAAACAAGTAATACTAAGTGAATTTAATTAGAAGATGCACTTCTAACAGCATCCAAATGTAATAAAAGTATACAATGACAAAAAAATTGTTAGCAGTAGGCGTCTCACGTTTTGTATAAACATAATTTAGTAATTTTCTAATCATGTTTTTCATACCCATTATCTGTCCTCACGTTGTAAATTTACTTAGTCTCATTCTGGCATCTGCATTTTAGCATGATCTAATGTTTTCCAACAGTGTAGAGTTATTTATACTGAAGTAGGAAACGAATCATCATTATGATATTTTATCTAATGATGTGAATATTTGTGATAGTATTGCTGTCCAACCATCTATACAACATTGTGTTTTTGAAAAGAAGTAACTTCGACATTTATAGAAAAGAAAAGTAAAAAGACTCAGTTGTTCATTATCAGTAAAATAACAAAAATCAACTTGATCATTTGTGTTTACATGAATTTGGTTTATTCTTCAGCTTGCTGACTAGTGTTGGGGATGGTTGGTAGAGAGATAGGATCGGCCAAACCAAAAAGTAGCATCAGAGCTTGAAGTCACTAACTTCTAGTCTAAGCCATGTTGGTAGATGCAGACTACTTGGTTGGGGTCCGCGTGACTATCGTAACCAATGGTTGGAGACTCTAGGTGACATGGCTCAGAATCGATCACAATGGCGTAGGTGTATACACTCTTTATATTCCCTTAAACCTTGAGATTAAAATTGCTTCATATCTGTCTTTCTTCCTGTACTATATCCTTATATACAACCTTTCTTTTATATATTAACACCACTAAATTGACTACTTTTATGAATTCGGTGTTGATCTTGTTGTGTTAACGATGTATGGAAACTTGGACCGATACAAATATATGCCTGGTCCTACGTTGTAGCTAACTGATTGACTGATTCTCCAACCGTAATTAGATACTTATAAGAGGTTTTACTTAATTTTAATGTAACTGAAGTATTATTCATTTAACTCAGTGGGTATAGGTAATACAATTAACATGTTCCTGTACTTAATCATGATTAAAAATTACTAAGATTATTTAATATTAGTTACATATGAAAGTTAATGAAAATTACATGCGATATATTTACCGACACATTTGTTCCACATCACCGACTGAACCAAAACCAAAACCAAATCCTTTATACTTTTCTGGAATTCTTGTAACTCCAGCCAATTTTGCACAATTATTCAAATCGTCTATATGGAGTACACAATCGTTACATTTACCATAGTTGAATAGAAATAGATAGAACATTAAACAGATACGGAATTTCCAACAGAAATGTGTCAACATATGTACAGTGAGAAAAATATACAATTATATTGGTGGGTCTATCAGTTTCTAATTTGGTGAAACCGTTACTATTCCTTTATTTCTAATGAAACTTTTATATTTTATATCTGACGTACATTACTATTCTTCGTTAATCACTTTGGTGTTTTGAGCATTCTGATATTCTAAAACTGAGTTTTAAAAAAACATAATTATAATAATTATATAAAAGGGATTGTAAATAAATTAATCAAATCAAAATGAGGATTTTTGAAGATGGTAGTAATTTTTAGTAGTTGAAATCATCAGTCGATTGAGGCTAGACCACCATTGATAATCTGGAAGAACTACACTGTCGTTTCGTCCTCGGCAGTTCGCATCGACGACTCCACATGTGAGAGTGGAACCCAGTACCTTCGGTCTCGCGTGCGAACGCTCAGCATTTAGACCACTGAACGGTATCAATGTTCAACTTTAATCGATTCATGATCTTGCGCAACCTATAACCTTGCTTTTTTTCTGGTACTCTACAATCATTTGCTACTGTTGCTTCTTTTTTAATCACACTCAAATCATTTAGATTAAATTAGTCGTGATTAAATTCAGATAAAACTTCAGTAAGTCAATACTATTTATAAATTATGAATTGTCAACTTGCTAAAGAACATTTAAAGTTTTGTATAGTTGGTGAGACATCCTTTGGAACATCCTATACTTCTGTTTCAGCATTTACCAAAACAGAAAATAAACCGTCAAGCAAATAAATAATTCTTCATATCATGACATGACATTAATAATTAAAATTCATGGTTGATTGTTGAATTACGATCAAGTGAAAAGATGAATTACCTGATCTTGTGTATTTTTCTACATTTTGGTTAGGCATTATTCCTTTCTAAAATTAGTCTTCATTCCATATTTTATAAAATTTTAGGTATTTAAAGTAAGTTTGATCAATTTAATCAAAACATTTACAGCAAATAGTCATGTTTAAGATGAATATGTGTTTACCAGAAGGGGTTTTGTGGAGATTTTATAATTTTATAGTTTAATACATTAGTCAATTGAATCTAAACCACCATGAAAAACCTGGAAGCACTGGAACTCCTGGGGACCCATCAGTCTCGCGCGCGAGAGCTTAACCTCTGGAACAGTACTGAGGAGTCCCGTACTAGGACGAAACGGCCGTCCAGTGATTCCAGGTTTTCCATGGTGGTCTAGGTCCAATTGACTCATGAATTCAACCATAGAACATGTGTTTGTTTACAACTACTTCATAATACTTATTATCAGAAGAAATGTAAATTTATATCACCAGATAAGGAAATTCACCTTTTCCATTCATACTGTTCTTCATATGCGATTTAGCAATAAAATATCTTTTAAACTACTGTTTTTCATTTAATAGTTCATTTAAATATGTAACTATTGTACAGTTTATCTTATTTTATGAAGTTCAAATAGCTTTAGAAATATACACACACAACTAATCTTTTTATATGTCTAAAACAATTAGTCCCTTTGATAAATTTCGATAGTGTAATATGAAGATGAAGATTATCGGAACTATGTGACATATTAATGCAATACATTCCGTATTAAGGTTTATTGAAGCCTTAGTCATACAAAAATTCAAACTCAAAGTTTATTCTCACCTAAAACCTACCCTGGTAATATTACCTTATTATCCACAGTGATGAGGTTTCAAATTGTTTTCTTTGTCTCCTTTTAACCCCCCACACAACTATTTTTTAGTGTAGTTGACTTTTTATTTTTATACATAAATAATCTTAACAAGTATATTAGGTGTGATCAAATTGTTCGAAATGTATTACGTTAATGCATCACATAGTTCTGATAATCTTCGTCTTTTTATTACACAATCAAATAGGTGAGTAATTACATACAAAACACCCCCATAACGTATTATTCCGAAATATACTTTCATAACTCCCCTATAAAAAATCATTAGAAAAAATTTACTGGATAATTACCCTTGTTCATTATAAAAATCTTTATTACTATAGTGTTAACTTAGAGTTCGGACATTCATAAATCCTTTTCTAATTTCAAGTACCTTTTTTTTAGTTTTAAAGTAAACTTTCAAATGCTGATGTGTTTTTTTTCATTTTACATTATAACAATGTTCACTTGAACGATCCATTAAGTGTCTCATATATATATATATAACATTTTTAACAGATCTAGGGGTCAAGTATTTTTCAATCTTTAGTATAAGGATATTTAATTGTAAATATTTTGATGAAGTTTTGTTATGTGAGCTGGATGGTTTGGTTGTGGAGCTTTCATTGTCCTTGTGAAAGACATCATCAGACTAAACCATCCAGCTCAAAGAACAAAACTCCTTCAAGATTATCCACTTGAACTACAAATCTTCTCCACTATCTCATAATTGTAAATATTGTTTTCTATTATATATTTCTAATCACTAAAATAAATCATTTGACCTCAACATTTAAAGAAAACTTATCGTAGTAAGAAAGCATTACAGAATAATCGTATCATTTTTAAACACTTTATAAATCTATCGGTAATATAAATAGTCTAAATAGTAATATCATTATACTTATTAATATAAGTGAGCTTAACCAAGTTCAATTTTCCGATTTAATATTTATTAATTTAAAGTTTTTCGCTGTTGATTTGTAACTTAAATCATCTCATTAATAACATTTAGATAATTTAAAGCTTTCTGAAGTTAGACATTAACACCGTTGGATGCCGGTCCAATGGTCTAGTGGTTAAGCGCTTGCGCTCAGTGGTCTATCAGTTGAGTGCTCTGCCGCGAAACAGATAGGTCTTGGGTTCGAGTCTCGCTAGGCGGTATCGTGGCTGCGCACTGCTGAGAAATCTCACAATTGGACGAAATGGCGGTCCAGTGATTTCAGATTTTCCATGGTGATCTAGCTTCAATTGACTGATGAACTCAACTACAAAATTACTTTTTTTTTATAATCCGTCGTGAACCAATCCATTTTATGGATAATTGATTTATCAAACGAATTATGGTTTTATTATATTATGTACAGAAGATGAAAAGGTTCATAGAATTATTTTCTATAAAGGACGTCAAGTAGAATGATAGTTTCTTAATTATCAAATTATCAACTTAACACATCTTTGATGTGTATTATCTTTATTCTTGGTAAAGTGAACTCATGATTTCTATTACGATCCACAACAATAACTAAACATGTTAATCATGAACATTTGTTTCAAACATTGGATATAACTTGCTTACATGAAAAACCACGTATATACTACTCCTAAAAAAATTTCATTGTTAAATGAAGAACTCAATGTAATTCTTTTAAAAAGATGGATAGACTTTAGAATTTATCGTTTTTGACAACGATGAAGCCATTTTACCTAATATTCAGATAATTCATTGTGAAGTATATGCTGACGTCATTATATACAGTACATTGATATACAGAAAATATGAATTATTTGAGAAAATACTGATAGAAATAATAAGCGGGAAAAAACATACACGATAATACCCGGTCATTGTCAATGAGAAAAGTTATCAGAGTTTATGAAAAAAAATGCAAATATCAATGCAGACTACCAATTATACATAGATACATATTCAGGTGAGACTATAATTTATGGATGACGTTTGAGTGACTCTAAAGTTACCTTGAGAATATCCGCCTATTAACTAGGGTTATTTTAGGGTTTTAAACCAGTGTGAAAAATAAAGATTGTGATTTGCAGTTGATGGTTAGGATAAGAAATTAGATTTAGGGTATTTCATCACGAGTTGACATCAGCTGACATGTCAAGACACTATTTAGCCAAATGGGTAAAGAATTTGGCACCGAAATCCCAGACCTATTATCGTGAATCTGATTGCTTCGTTTAGAAATTATAGTCTTGCCTACATTCATTATTTCAGTGACTATATGAAGAAGGGTTTAAAAGTGAAATGAATATCATTGGAAACACTTACGTCATTTGATATTTCTTGTCTTACATTATATAATGAAATTATATAATTACCAATAATAATCTGAACAGTATGTTTTATGCTACTGAAATGCCACAGTTTATTTTTAGGAATAATCTATAATTTTCATTCCTCTTAATTAGTTCATAGTTTAAAGTAGAATTCAAAAGAAATAGTACATTGTAGAGTATTTATCCATTTTGTTTAACATTGTGAATAATTATCGGAAGGGGGTTTTATGGAGATTTTAGTAATTTTATATAGTTGAAGTTATGAGTCATTTGAAGCTAGATCACTATGGAAAACCTGAAAGCACTGAACGGCCGTTTCGTCCTATTGTGAGACTCCTCAGCAGTACGCATCCACGATCCCACCCCGCGAGATTCGAACTCAGGACCTATCAGTCTCGCGCCAGAGCGCGTAACCCCGAGATCCGGCATCCAACGGTGTCAATGTCTAACTTCAACCAATCCTTCAAATTCAGCAACCACTCACCAATATCTTCAGTGAGTTGATATCTCTTGACAGACCTGGTTGAACTCCACTGGTTACTGCTTTTCGCGAGATTCGAACACCGTTAGATGCCGGCTCAGTGGTCTAGTGGTTAGGCGCTCACGAGTGAGACTGATAGGTCCTGAGTCCGAATGTTGCGAGGCGGGATCGTGGATGTGCACTGCTGAGGAGTCCCGCAATAGAACGAAACGGCCATTCAGTGCTTCCAGGTTTTCCATAGTGGTCTAGCTTCAATTGACTCATGATTTCAACTATATAAAATGTTAATAACTATTTTTTTATGTCATTTTACAATAAAATCTACTGAAATATACACCATAACAACAATCAATCAATCAATCAACTGAATTATTTATACCCCTTTACCTGTATATATTGTAAATTAATGAAAATAACAAAATAAAAATGTTCTTTTGTGTTTATTTCAATGAATCGACATACATGTAATAGGAAAGAATCAATCAGATAAACAGATTTATTCATGATATATGATGTTATTTTAATAGAATAACTAATGAGTTTGAATATAAAAAGC